AGTTAGAAAGATTTACAGAGTAAGACCTGTGTGTCCTGGTGGTCAAGTTGAACATAAGTCAGCAGTGTGACCTTGCAGTGGCAATGGCCAGCCACATACAAGGCTCTACCACAGTGGCAAGCAGGTCATCACAGAATCATAGAATGGTTTGGTTGGAAGATCATCTTAAAGATTACCTCATTCCCTGCCACAGGCAGATACACCTTCCACCAGACCAGGTTGCTCAAAGCCCCATCCAACCTGGCCTTGAACACTTCCAGGGATGGGGCATCCACAGCTTCTCTGGGCAACCTGTTCCAGTGCCTCACCACCCTCATCGTGAAGAATTTCTTCCTTATACCTAATCTAAATCTTCCCTCTTCCAGTTTAAAGCCATTGCCCCTTGTCTTGTCAACACATGCCCTTGTAAAAAGTCCCTCCACAGCTTTCTTGCAGGCCCCTTTTAGGTACTGGAAGGCTGCTATGAGGTGTCCACTAAGCCTTTGTTTCTCCAGGCTGAACAACCCCAACTTCCCCAGCCTTTCTTCATAGGAAAGGTGCTCCAACCCTTGGATCATCTTCGTGGCCTCCTCTGGACTTGCTCCAACAGGTCCATGTCCTTCTTGTACTGGGAGCCCCAGAGCTGAAAGCAGTACTGCAGGGGGGGTCTCACCAGAGCAGAGTAGAGGGAGAGAATCCCCTCCCTTGACCTGCTGGTCACACTGCTTTTGATGGAGCCCAGGATACGGTTGGCTTTTTGGGGTGCTTGCACACCTTTCTGGGTCATGTTGAGCTTCTCATCAACAAAGAAAGCGGTCCAAGAATGAGAGCAGCCTTCTGCTTTCAGCACTTATGAGACTGCATGTGGAGTATTGTGTCCTATTTAGAGTTCCCTAGCACAAGGAAGCCACTGACATAGTGAAGCAGGTGACCAGCAGACGGCTGCCAAGGTGCTCAGTGAGCTGAAGCACATGCCACTCCCTGGAGAGGATGAGAGAACTGGGTTTGTTCAGCCTTAAGAGAAGGGTGAGGATCAGAAGGAAGACAAACTCTCACAGCAACACACTGCAATTTTACCCTGTTAGAAAACTCGGTATCAATAGGAAAAAAATCCTTAAGGAAAAAAAGATTAAAAAGCAATGCACTGATACAAAAGTATGCTACATATACATTTGGATGAGAAGCTGATTTGTAGGAAATTTTTGCCTCTTCTGTTGAATTAAAAAGAGTTGCAATGTCAGGCTGCCCTTAACCTCTCATTTGCTATCTTTACTATTGGCATTCTGTTCCTTCTAGGACCATAATGCAGAGAATTAGGTCTGAAAGGAGAGGTATTATTCAGATTTTAAAGTCCTTTCTGCCCTTTCCTCCCAGGTAAGTACATTTAAGTTTTCTTGCCACCAGATAACTCAGAAGTACTGTACTACAAACCAGTCTTCCCTCTCTATGGCAAAAGCTTAGTTATTACCTTTTTGTTCTGAACAGAAGTGCTTGACACTATTACAGCAAGACATTAATAGGGCTTTATATTTAGAATCAAATGTTATGTTTACTGTTCTATCTAATTATGTTCCACACTCAGCTACTGCGAAAATTTTTCCTACTGATATGACCTGAAATGTACAATTCTTTTAGCATGAAGTCACAGCACTGCAGCAGTACAGCACACCCTTTAAGAAATCCCTTAACATTCCTAACTGATACTTTAAAATGATATTATCTCAAGTAGCTGTTGCTTCCTTAGGACACTGCCTCCATTCAACAAGAAGGAAGTTGCTGGGTTATAATGACATGCATTGTTGTGGCCAAACTAGTATCCAGCAGGATTAGGCTAGTCCTCAAGCTGTTCTTGCCAGCCTAGTTTACTTGGAAACTTGCCACATTCTTTGGTATAGTCACTGCCTTGTTCTACAGTTTGAGAGTGAATACCTTTAAAGGAAGTAGGGCACAGCAAAGTTTCTGAGAACTTTCTTTTCTACTACCTTGCCTTAGTGACAGAGCTTTTAAATGGGATATTCTGATGCAGCTACCTGGCACTGCCATAGCCAATTTATTGTTTTCATTTTCTTTAATATCTCTAAGGAAGGCAGGAAGAGCAAACTTTCATCATTAATATAATAACATCCAAGTCATTGTGTAACAACATTGTAGATTTTGTACATTAAAATTGAATTAGTTGGAAGTTTCCATTGTGATAAGCAATGCAAAAATCAAAACATTGCTGAAGAATACAGTTCCTGAAACCACACACAGGCAGATACACTGCAGGTGCAGAAGTCTACTTAGCAGCTGAAACAATGTTAGCAAGAAAAAAGTGAGTTTGTAAAATAGAGTGGGGAATACATAACACAAAGAGCAGGACCTGCTTTCTGCTAGAAGGCTACGTGTAACTGGTGAGAGCAGCTGCCATGGCAATTGCCTTCAGGAGCTCTACAGGAATTCAGCTGCACGCCCCAGCAAGGAGCACGGTCGTATCTCCGCTCCAGATCACTATCACGGCCAGTTGGGGTTGCAGCCTGTTCTCTGAATTCAACCTGTAAGAACCCTGATTACCTGAAGGACTGCGACACGCACCACTGCATGGCACACTGAGGCAATACACACACACAAGGCATACAAACAGCACAAAAGGGGTAAGACTGGTAATAAAGAAGTTGGTTCTGACAGCCAGTAAGCAGATAAAGCATGAACCAATGACTGGTACACATAGCCACATATGTAATTTTCTCTTTGACAACTAAGCGTGCTTTCTCAAAATCACTATTTCATTCCTTTTCTTGTCTGAAAAATTGTGCAATACTTTCCATTAATGCTAAAACTTTAAACACAGATCTGGAATCATTATACGCCAGAAAACTGCACTGAAATATCTGCAGAGCAGTCAAGCTCTAAAAAACTAGCAGTACTAAGACCCACCTTCTTGCTTGCACTGGAGAACAGGGACAGGAGTAGCCTTTCAGGAAGAACATCCTGAAAATGAAGACAACAGGGAGAGAGGGAGAAGGAAAAGTCAGACAAATAACAGTGCCTTTAAGGCAGGAGGGGAGAGGACAGAAGACACATGAACTTCTTTTAGCAGAGATGACTAAACCTTAATGCAAATGCAGAAAAAGAGGGATAGGTGTGACTTCAGCTGAAACAAAGACAACACTTAATTTGATTCTGCACTTTGAATGACATTCCTCTTGCTTTGCACAAGTAGAATAAAACCTGTGGATTATTCGTTTAGCCTGAACTTTAAGGACTCCTACCCTTTTACATGGTAAGGCCAGAACTTCAAAGGAAGTTTCCATAGCTAGTCATAAAAGAAATGTTTCCATAAAACTGCACTAAAGGTTTACAGTCAGCTGTATTACCTTTTACAGGGATTACATGAGATGAAGCTTGGTCAGTTTCCTACTATCAATCAATTTTTTCTGAAACCGTAACTAGAGATCCAGCAATATAGGTTCCACACAGGCAAAAGCTTTTGCTGTTACAGTTTTAAATGAGGCACAGCTCCTCAGAGCAGGGAGGGAAACAGGAAGAGAGGAAGAAAAGGGACACAGGAATTTATGCATTTCTGAACTGTATAAAATAAAGCCTAAAAAACCCTCATGCCTTCAGCCTGAAAAAGCTCAAGATTCCCCCTCTTCCACCTTCCTCCATTTTTTACCTTAGTCAGCAAATTATCTCTAGTTTTCTTTAGGTCACTTGGAGTCTCAAAGGATGCTTCTCAATTGGGGACAGAGCAGTAGGGCAATACTGACAGTACCTCACAGCAATTCCCAACAGTCTATCAGACATTGTTCAGAGAAAGAAAAAGCTCCGGAAAAAAAAAAAAAGATACTGACAGTCCAATTGAAAAATCCCTCTCCTGACTACTAATTTTACATTCTTTGCAAACACTATCAACACTGCACTGACTTGTCCTGTTGTTGGTCCCCTACCTCGGAAGAAGTTTAATTCTTCTAATTTCAAATACAGAAAAAAAAAACAATAGAAGGGAAAAGGATGGGAAGAAGGAAAAGGAAGAACAAAAAAACCAATCAAATGATTTCTGATACTCTATACACTCAACAAAGTGTATATTTTTCTTTTAAAGTGCTAAAGAGCTTCCACCGCAGTTTAAATGAAAACTTCAACATATTTATTTTTATACATTCTAAAAGCAGAAATTAAAAAAAAACAATCAAAATTAAGATCAACATTAAATGTACAACAGGTTTGTAGCACAAGTATTTGACTACTGCATGAAAAGGTTAGACAAGTAATCACAAGAGTTAATGAATATGGTTGCCTGTGGGTTCAAAACTATTAGCAAGGATTAACATTAACATGACAAAAAAAATAGATGCCTCATGTTACAATCATACTTTTCTGTTAATAAAAGATTTTAAAATATTTGGCTTTTTTTTTGGTTAGATTTTTTAAAAATATACAGCTTTTTATTTCATTTATGTATAGGGTTGCTTTTTTCTTTCCCTCACACCCGAAAATTTACAAGAAAATCTTTCATTTCTCTACACTTCATGTTCTTGCACACTGAATATGTATTGGAGTTTTCAGGTTGGCACAGTCAGAAGTGATTGTATTTAAACAATTCTTTGCTTAAATTTACTTAACCGCTTTCCTCCAAGAAAAGACTGATAGTCTCCTACAGCTACCTTTTAAAAATCAGGTAAGTAATCATTCTTGAAAAAGCATAATAATGAGCTGGTTTGTTCATTGTTATCCATTTCCTGACAAATTCTGCTGCTCCAGATCACCAGTCAATGACGTGGAGGATTTGGCAGAATGAAAATGATACATGAGTATTTTACATTGAGACAGAAATATTTGAAAGCTTATTTCAATACTATCACCATAAGAAACAAACTGCTAAGTTTCGCTCCAACAAGTCATCTCCTCCTACTTTTCCGTTATTTTTCCTGATAAGAGAAAAGACATACCCCTTAACTTTAAAATTTAACTTTCAACTGTCCTTTAGGGGAAACCTGACTTAAATGTTTCCTAATGTACAGTCTGCAAGTTTGTACACATTATTTATTCAAACGTTTCTTCAATTGTTCTAGATGCCTTGCATCAGCATCCTGGAGAATTAATACAGTCGCTTTAGATTGAAGTGGATTAAACTCTATAGTCATCAAACAACAGAGATCTATCAGTCGTTTTTGACATTTCTCTAAACCATCCCTAAGCTTCAGATGTGAAGCTGGATCCTTTTTCAGCCTATGCATTTCAGGCACTGAAAAGCCAATCAAATTTGTTAGAATATCATCTGCAAAATCTACTTCAAGATAAGCTGAACCATCAGAAATTTTTGCTTTTATACCCCAGGACCCATTGTTGCTTGTGAGGTTTCCAGTGAGAGTAACAATAAAACACTTAACTTTCAGAATTGTAACAGTTTCTGGTTTTCTTGCAAGGAGAAGGGAAATGTATGTGAAAGGTGGAGAATCTAAATCCAAGTGTTCTTCTGCTGCTCCGCAGGGAAAGCTCTGTGAATCATGCTTCTGCTGATCTGCTTCTGGATCAGTTTTTGAGAAAAATACAGGATCATCATTTAATAGCCGGTTGTCAGAAGTGTGCTGGGACTTATGTCTGCTCTCATCTAGGTCTGTATCATTCTGCCTTTCTTCAGGAGGATCTTCCAAAAAGAAATCTGCAGAATTGCAGGTCTGATGTACGCTCTTGTGCTGTGAAAACCTACTCATACTATTTCCATCTCGATCAAATATTGTTCTTCCAAAAGTCTTTTGCTTGCTGGTAGCTTCTACAGGCTTATGTCTTTCATTCACACCATCTTTCTCACAAGTGCCATTTAAAGTTGAATTGCAGGAGCTTCTAGATGTGTGTGGAAGTCTTTCACTAACTAAACCTATGTTTCTGTTCGTGACCACTGGTGGCACTTCTTCCAGCTCTTTTTGCATCTCTTCTTCCAGAAGAAAGTCATCTTCTAAAGGAAAGTGATTTAAAAAGCCATCAACATACTCCATGGCAGGTGAAACTTGTTCATCTGAATGAGGTAAAGGACTTCCAGATTCCAACAGCAAAACATTTCCGTTGTGTGCTGCTAGTGAATCTGAGGTTGTACTTAAATTGTTCCTTCTACTGCAGTATCCGCTTTCTAATGATGTTTCATTGTTTAAAGCAAATTCATTATTTTCATCAAGACTGGCTAAAAGCTCTTCATCTGAAGGGCCTAGACTTTGTTCTAATTCCTCCACAGGCCTTGAAACAATTTGGACATGACCAGCTTGTCCAATAGAATTACGGTTTTCAGTTTCTCCAATTAATCTAGCAAGGACTCTTTCCTGAGAATACTCCTCCAGAAGAGCATCCACTTCACCCCCCAACAGTTTCACATTTCCTGGTTTAAGCAGAAGGACTCCAAGACGATATGCAGTATTACCCTGTACAGTGATTTTTGTTCCAGGAGGAAGATTACTGCAGAGGACAGGCACTGGTTGATACTCCATGCCCTGAATTTGATGTATCCCATCAGTTAGTTGCAGCATTAGCATTCGAGTAGGCTTTGCTTCCCAGGGCTTCTGGAATGCCTGCGTACTGGCTGTTACTTCTTCATTCACAGTATTTTTCCCTCTTAGCTTCTGCAACTGGGAATATGCTGGCTGGCTAACATCAACCATTGAATCAATCTGTATGGAGTAGAAGCCTGACAACTCTCCTTTGGGAGCATCTAAGATGCAGTCAGGCAAAATGGGATATTCCAGATCTCTTAGATCAGTAAGAAGCCATTGCTCAAATACCTGTCTGTTAATCTGAGCTTGAGTTAAGTTATTACCACTATTTTCTTCCTGGATCCAACTGATACATGCTTCCAGCCATGTCAAAGGAACTTTAACATGCCATGTGGATGAAAGCCAAGTTTCCACTCTTGCTGCAATGTCAGATGTAGACATTTTCTTTTAAGTTAAGAGAGTGAATTCCCTAGAACAAAATCAAAAAAAGACATATTTACTCTTCTGACAACAGCCAAAGTTATGACAAGTTTCTCACTCACATTATATAGAAATTTGTTCTCAATTCAAAGTTCTGCTGTTCTAAGTGTGACAACATAGAAGCAATTTAAATTAAAAACACTTCTACAGACACTAAAAATAAACATGCATTTCCAATATTTAAAGTTTCAATCACCATAAAAATTACATGCAGTTTCCTCATCATGGAGTATCAGGAAAGTATGGCAACTTCTACAAGCAATCCTGCTTGGTGACTTCTCATTTTTTGTTGATTTAATTAGAAACATATAACTGAAATCCTTTTGTTACAGATGGAAAGTAAAGGGACAAAAAAAAAAAAAAAGGAAACAGAACTAGGTTGTTATATATACGCCCTCTATTTTACTGTTTGTTTGTTTTATTTCTGTGGATGCTGCTGTTAACACTTAGCTTACTTTAGAAATTGACCTGAGAAGTCACTCTCCCATTTCATCAGCACTGTTATGAACAGAAGTAAGAGACCTCTTCTACAACAGAATCAAGCCAGGATCTGTCAGCACTTCTATCACAGGGGCAAATTTTACACTGTAACTGGATGAAAGCTTTGTACCCAACAACAGAAATCTAGGTTTAAACATCATTGTTATCCAGGGACCCAGTCCAGGGTTTGGCTGCAATAGCACCAAATCTTGGCAGTCATCATCAGTGGCTAATAAGGTCTAGCTTCTTGTTAGTTTAGGAAGTAGCTATGCACATATAGAATAGAATAGAACAGAACAGAACATTTCAGTTGGGAGGGACCTACAATGATCATCTGGTCCAACTGCCTGACCACCTTGGGGCTGACCAAAAGTTAAGGCATGTTATTAAGGGCATTGTACAAATGTCTCTTAAACATTCATAGGCTTGGGGCATCGATCACCGCTCTAGGAAGCCTGTTCCAGTGTT